TTCTCGGTCTTGCATTTTTATTGCCACAGCTGGTTAGCAAAGGCATAAATGCAGGGTTAGTACAGCCATTAAAATGCTATCGCTATTTCGAGAGGACAACTGAAACTGATGTCTTCTGGGTTTGCTAGAATCTTCTGCCTAAGAGTGGTTTCAGGGCTCTAGAAACTAGAAGTTAAGCTAGTTAAAAAGTGAAAAAAAAAAAAGTGGATTTTTCTTGTCCCTTCAGGTCAAGGTATCCTCAAATCCTCCAAGTCATTGGTCTTTTTATTTTGCTGTACTGCTGTAGCAATAGTGAAAGGGTTTGGGGTTGGGTTTTTTTGGAGGAGCTGTTGTTTTTTTGCCCCTGAACTTAACATTTGTTGTCAAAAGCTTGAAGCCATGTTTTTTTTGAAAGGACCCGCTCGTTTTTGTTCGTATTTTTTTTTGTAATTGGCTTATTTTAGTCTGAATTGAGAAGACCATCTGCTAGTGCCTGTACCCAATGCACAACTTCTTGACAGGAGAGGAAGAGTAGACAGGCTGGGGCCTTTTTTGGCTTTTTAGAAGCAGGAAATGTTTAAGGAAGGTTAAGGAAGTTTAAGAAAGAGAAAAAAACAAAACAACCCAGCACCTCTTTTGGGTGTTGACCCAGGAACACTTGGGTCTTGCGCGTACGGGCGCGCTTGCTCGCAGCTCTCCGCGAGCCTCCCTGCCCATCTGCGACCTCCTTTGTAGATGCGCGGCCTTTGAAGGGTCATTAATTTAATATCTTTCCCTGCACAGCAGCTGGAACAAATGGTCGCCCCAGCTCCAGCGAGCGCTCCCAGACACCCGCCTCGCCCGGCGCTGACCTACAGGCATTTTTGCGGTGGCTGTCTTGAGCTTTTTATAGTTTTTGCACACGTGTTGCATATAGGACACCGTGCAGGTGCGGGCCTTTGCTGAAGTGTTAGCTAGCCGTTCGGTGAGGGCTTGGGTTTGGGGTCTTCTTCTGGCAGTTTTGCTTTTCAAAAGTCAGGGGAAGCTTCCTGGGTTCAGGCTGAATCCGAGGGGCAGCATTTTGCCGTTGGCTCACTGGGGGTGCATCTGAACTCCCTCGGAGTGTACCCCGCGGGTGGGAGGACAGCGCCCATTCAAAATGGCGAGTAACGCCGCCCCGTTAGCGTGCTTGCGGAGGAGCTCCGCCGCCGGTGAGAGGATTTCTTCCCCACCCCCGATGGGTGATCCCTTCGCCATTAATCTTTAATGTTCATAACGGGTTAGGACACCTGCGTGCCTTAAAGCATAACACAAGGTCTTCAGGCTTGTAAGTCACAGGTCCTCATTTTTTAAGTTTGTTTTTTCCAAATTGCAGATCTTGAGCTAGGCTGCGGGTTCAATTTCCTTTACTTTCCAGGGCACGTGAAGAAGCTTAGGCCCAGAGGTTAAGGAAGGGGACTAAACTGGTGTGGTGCGGTGTGGTAGTACACCACGTACGCTGCATCAGAGCTGTGTTAGCAACCGTTTTGACAAGCATCTAACCTCTTCAGATTGTCTTGGAAATGAGAATCGCAGCCTCAGCTGCTTTAGGGTGTTTCTAGAAGCTGCTTGGGTAGCAACCTGTGCCAAAACACGGCATTTTGGTGGGTGGATGAAGTGTAACTTCTGTACTAAAATATTGAAGAACCTCATGCAGGACAACGGCTAGTTACGTCATTGTCTCATCAAAGGCGTGTGGACTGATAGGGCTTTGCAGGAGGAGATTTTTAAGGTGGTGTTGGGAAGAAAAGGTGCTCCACGAACTGTGCCTGTGTTAGACGTAAATGTCGTCAGCGTTCCAGGGAGAGCCACGGTGGTTGCTGGCTTGGTTAGCGGGGGCTGAGCCAAGCGTGGGGGACCCAGTGCGCCCTACGTGGAGATCACGTTCACCCAGATCAGTGGTCCTGGGGTTCAGGTCTCTGTCAGCCCCTCACTGGTTCCGCAGCTGTGTGCACCGTCTCTGGAGGATTTGGGGAGACGAATGTAGTGGGGATGGCGTGTTTGTGGGAGGAGGAGGAGGCGGCCTATGGGCAAAGAAAATGGGCTGCAGCAGGAGGAGTCTAACGAGCACCATACCGTACCTCAGCGTGAGGTGGGATTTTGGCTGTGTCACTCAGCCCTGAGAAGCCTCTGGGGTGGTAATGCCTGCCGTCAGCAGTAGGCGTTGGAAGGGGCTTCGGCAGCGTCCCCCACCCAGATATCCCCAACGGCAAAGGGTGCAGGACAGCGCGCGTGGGGTCAACCCGCGGTGGGAGGGTGGAGAGGGGGGCGAGAGGGGCATCCGGGCCTGTGTACGAAATCTTGCTCTCCTGCCCTGAACCCTCTCTGAGAGGAGGGCCCAGGTAACCCATCTGGGTTGACTTGTAGGGCAGGTGCCGTAGCAGAACCGATTTAGTCCACAGGACTTTTGGAAAATACGTCGTCGGGCCTTTCTCATCCTGGTTTCACTCTGCAACGTGTCACCCTGTGTTTTCTCCCCGTGTCGATCACTGCGGTCGTCTCAGTGGGACCAAGCCTGTGCCCACGGAGCCCCCAGCCAGTGGCGCATCTGGGTGCCCAGCAGGATTTAGGTGGCCAGAGCTCCTTGGGTCCTCCCAAAGTGACATGGGGCAGGCAGGCTGGAGAGCTTTTTATTATTGCTATTATTTATTGTTACTTTTTTTTCATGTTTCTGGCTCTGCAAGACCCCCAAATGCTCTTAATGGCAATACAGCCCGTTTATATGTTAATTTTAAGCCCACTGACAGGCGGTTTGCTTTTCTCCTCACTTCTCACGGTTCCTTCACCCGTTGAAAGCCGCTGCCGTGGGCTTAGGGGATAAGGTGCCGAGAATTAGAAAATAAAATACAATCTGTGGGATGCTGGAGAGCGAGGGGGTACGGGGATTGGCTTGCTCGAAGTACAAATGGGTGATTTCTAAAAGCAAGTAACCCTGATACCAGCGGCATGCATGACAATTACATCTAGCATAATACAAAATGTTAATTACTAAATTTTGAGAAATTAATGCTGATTAGCAGCTGTGTATGTGACCTAAATACATCTATTGCTTGATCTTTATTCATAATGTACAGTTTATTGTTGATAAAGTAATTGCTGAATGGTGGGCTGGCCCACAAGTCTTGTAGCTAAAGACTGTGGCTTGATTTGTAAAGCATCTGAAATTTGTTAGCATCTGTTTTTTGTTGAATTTATACAGGCAGGGAAGATGAATAGCAGTCTGAGCTATCCCCTTTAAAACTCAACTCATATATATTATTGAGAATGCATATTGCTTTTATTGTTTGGTCACAAAAATGGACCTAATGCTCGTTGGCTTTAAAACACCTACTAGTGCTGCTTTCTCTCTCCATCTTGCAAAATATAAGACAAGGCCGAAGCTTAAATTAAAATCCTCAGGTTCTTATCTCTTTCCCACAGGAAAGCAAATCTGTGTTGAAAACCGTAAAATTAAGAGGAGAGCAAGGATAGCATAATTTAGCAAAAATTCATGGCACCAGATTCTGAGCTATATGACTGGAGGGATAGGTCAGACATTAAGAAGATACAGCCTGCTAATGCAAGTTCCTTAAGGTGGTGCTCTGGAAACAAGGCAAGCAGAAAATGCTGCATTGGTTCCCATTTACTCCCTTTCCTCTGCTCCCACCGGCCTTAACGATAAATTGGGTTGTCCATTTTATAACCCTTCTGCTTCCAGAAGTCCAAAGAAATCCTGGGTTTGTACTTGGAGTATTGTCCTAACATCTGTTTGTGCTGGGACTTCAATAGTGAACTTGAAATTAATTTCATTGGGCTCTTAAATTTTTTTTTCTTAATTCCTTATATTTGACAGGCTGTCCCTGCTGAGTTTTATTAGTGTTTCTGTCTGAAGGACAGCTTTTTTTGCCCTATTTTTTTACTTTTATTAAAAATGTGCTTGTGATGTAATTATTTTTGCTAAGGGGCAGGGTAGAGTGGCAGGGTACAGATGAGCCTGTTGCACGCCGGCATCATCGCTATGTCTCATCCCGCCATGGGAAGAGCAACTTGTTGTTTCAAGCAGCTTTAATACGGCAGCATTTTGTCGGGACGAGTGAGTCCCGTTGTCTTGCAGCCTTGATCCAAGAGCGTGATTTTTGGGCAGCGTCATGACGAGCGCTCCCTCCCCTACGCCTCTGCCGGAAGCACTGATGGGAAGCCTGTGTCTTGGCCTACATGGGCATCGCTTCATGGCACTCATTTCAGGACCCTCTCGGGTGTTTGTAGCACTTTGATTTCTCCTTGGCGTGATGCAGCAAGGGGCCTCCCAGCCATCCCCGGGTGGTCAGCGGGTCTCCTCCCTAACTGACCCCTCTGAGAGGCTGCTGCCAACCCCGTATATAAGAAATCAGGCTTTTAAGGGTGGCTTTTCAGTTACCTGCTACACAGACCAGCAGGTTTCAACTGGAGTTTGTAGAATTGCCAGGGCAAAAGCCTACCGTACCCTCTGGCAATGCCAGGGGCTTGTCCCCGCTGCGCCGTGCCGCATTCGCACAGGACAGCGGTGGAGAGGAGGAGTGAAAGCGATGAAGCTCGTGTTGCTCTTAAGGCTGGAGATGTGGCAAACTTGCACTTGAAACCTTTTTTTAAAGTGCTGAGGCTGTAACTGAAGGGTGCTGTCTCTGCCGTCCTTTGGTTACAGCCCTTGCCTGCCTGGCGTGCTGCTTCTCCTGCCTTGTGGTTCTCCAGCCGCCGCTTCCCCAGCCCCTCTCCCGAAACGCCTTTCCTCCTGTTCCCAGCCCCACCTGTTTCCATGTGTTTCCTCAACGCCCATATACCTCCTTGGGTGCCAGTGGTTCGAGGATGCTGATTCTGGCAGCAAACCTGGTTGCCATCCACCAGTTTGTGTCTGTCCATCCGTTCCGCCCCCACCCTGCTTCAGTAATACAAATGTGTAAAAATTGCATTTTAGAAGTGTCCTTTTTTAATTCAGAAGCCCCACCTCGCTAACACTGTTTAATTTAATTTTTTTTCTTCTCTTGCAGTCAAACAAGGTGCCAGTGGTACAGCCTTCTCATGCGGTTCACCCCCTCACCCCTCTTATCACCTACAGCGATGAGCACTTTTCCCCAGGGTCACACCCATCTCACATCCCCTCTGACGTCAGCTCCAAACAAGGTGAGCCCATCCCCTCCTGGGGCAGTGGGGATGCAGATCGGTCCCAGTGCCTCCCACACTGCTGATAGGGCTTTATTTGTAATATTTTAGAGGGAGGGTTCCAGGCGTGCATGCCCGCTTTCAGAGATGGTAATTCTGCCATGATGCTGATATTTAACTTGGCTGTTTAAATCTTTGTGCTCGTCCTAATGTGATAATTCAGGCTTGGTTTACTTGTCAAAGATCTTTTAAAATCTCAATAAGCAGCAGCCAGCCCTCACCACCCCCTGCGGTGCCCAAGGCTTGCAGCGTGCAGCTGTGGAAACGGCAATCATCCCTCACCTGCCCGAAAACGGGCGAAGAGTACTTCAGTAGTGGTGTCATTGAAACCTTTTCTTTCTCCCTTTTACTCAAAACTGTATTTTATGTCCTTGTATTCTGGCTGTCCAAATTCTTCCATATGTCAGTTGGTATAACTGAAGCGTAGCCCATAAAATACACTTTTGAGCCCGCACAATTTAAGGCTTTGCAAACATGACATTTTTTTAACCTTCTCATGCCTGCTGCCTTCTGCAGGTAGCATTGTTTTAGATGTCCAAGTAATACCCCTAGGCCTCCTTAAAAGAAGTCCCCCAGATCCTCATCTGGGAGCGCCAGACCAGCCCCACTCTGGGTTAGTTAGCAGGCCCCCGGGGAAGCGCCAACAAGCTCCGAGCTGCCGAGCTCAGGCTGCACCAAGAGCTCCTGCCCAGCACCCCAGCCCCAGGGAAGTGCCAACAAGCTCCGAGCTGCCGAGCTCAGGCTGCACCAAGAGCTCCTGCCCAGCACCCCAGCGAACCCAGGGGTTTCCTGGGGAGGGTGTGCTTGCTTGCATTGGGATGCAGGAGCTGGGAGGGGTGTGATGGTGGTTGGGGGGGTGCAAGGGGAGGACTGACCCCTGTCAGCACGGATCTGAGCTGGGGTTTGGGTAAGCACCCGAGGAGGAGGTGGTAGGAGAGCTGGTGGCGAGGAGGGAAGGAGAGGGAGCAGAGGGTTTATGAAGGTGTTCGCTGTAGTCAGGATGTCTGTGTGCCGGACTGGTCCTTGCAGGGTGCCTCTCCCTGCCTCTCTCAGCACTTACTTGTCCCACCACGTGGTGGGACATTTAGCTGACAAGATCATGAAGCTCTGCTTTGTCTGGGCACACATCCATATGCACAGCTGTCCCATTTATCTGGAGAGGTGTCTAGCCACCATTGTGCAGGGAGAGAGACTTTTTTTAGTTGTGACTTTCCCCAAATGCCTAGTTTTTGTTTTGGCCTTGCTACGTAGATAATAACATGGGCTACATCCAGAAAATACCATGGCCTTGTGGCTCTGTGTTTTTTGCTGTTTGTTAATTGGTTGGCTGGTTGTGTGTTTTGTTGTTTTTTTTTTTTTAGGAAGGGAGAATACAAAAAGCACTCTGCCTGGAAAGCCTGGGCTGTAAATACACGTATAGTATCATTTTCAGAGTTGGAAGAGGCAAATGGAGACCTCCTGTCCTCATTTGTCTTTCTCCTTTGCATTGGTGCCCAGGAGAAGGATGTTCACGCTCGTTCTTTGAAATCCCAGGGGTGCTGTGTGTCAGAGAACAGGATTTACACCTCTTGCACAGGCTGGCTGTGATGGCTGGGGCATACCGTGCTCCTGCAGTTTGTGAGCTCGAGATTTTCACTTACTGCATGATGGGTTTGCCCTCCTGCGCCCTAGTTCTTTGCCTTGACCCCTGGTTTGTTTTTGTAGTTGTCTGCTGCAGACTCAAGCTGAACAACATCCGGTTTGTTGTTTCTGCTGCCCGTTGTCCCCTCTCCCTCTTCATGCCCTCTCCCCTGTCCAGCCCCAGTGTGTTGCACCACTCACGTCCCTGAGCTCAAGCATAGAGACGGGCTCTGCCGGAGGGCGGCCAGGGGCATCTCTGGTGCAGAGCTCATGCCCCTCCGGTGTTCATGAATGGCCTCTCAGTCCCTCTGCTCTGCTCAGCATCTGGCAAAGATGGGGACGCAGGCTGGAGACTTCTGGTTTTGGCTGTGACGGTCTCCTTGATGTGTGTGGTCTTTCCATACTCCCCGTTTCGGTGCCGCTGGCATGTGGGAACAGCCCCAATGAAGTGGCCAATGAAGTTGCTGGAAAGAAAGGATTCCCCCCCCCTCCTCAGGTCCTCTGCCAAATGCCTCTGACCATTGTTTCTGTCCTCGCCTCCCACTGTGGGTCTGGAGTGAGGCACTGCCCTGGCACCCCAGCCCTGATCCCAGGGTGCCCTCCTCCCACCAAAATCCCCTGACGAGGGTGTCCACAGCAGCTTGCCTGCAGCACTGCCTCTTGCACCCCAGGCACTTTGGGATGGACACGCAGCCACCGCCTTTCTAAAGGCAGTCATTTCTTTCTTCCTTTTTTTTTTTTTTTTTCCTTAACCCTCTCATGAGCAAGATCTTGCTTTGCAGAGCACTGGCTGTGCGGTAGCTGTGTATGTTCCTGCTGGGCATTAGGTAGCTGACAGTAAGTGGCCACAAGTTTTGCACTAGTGATAACCCCTGTGCGTTAGTGCAGAAAGAGCAGCGTCATCCTATGGGTCAGAAACGCGGGTTTTGGGGAAGGAACAACCCAGCTCCTTATGTAGAAGGGGTCTCGGTCTGGCAGGGGTAAGGTTGTGTCATCACTCTCAGGAGCATCAGCCATCACCAGAGATGAGAATGACAGGCTGGGATTGTCTTTCACCTTTTTCTTCTTTTTTTTAAAACCTGCTCTAAAAAAGCATTCCCTTTCACATAACTTTCACATAAGAACCCTGGGATATATAATGTGTTCCCTCTCCTGTCAGCCACCAGCTGTTGTACACCTTTGAAAAGACAACTGGCCAAAAATATGCTCCTCAGGTTGTAGTCCCAAGGCTGAGAATTTAGCTTTTTTGAGACAGTAACACCACCAGTATTTTCCATCCTTTCCTGTGTGCAGTCTCGAAAGATACTCTTCAAATCTTATAATTAAATTCAGAAGATTTAAATACAAACTAGGGGGGGAAATAAATCAGTAGCATCAATCTATAAACCAAGTCTCAAGGTAGCACACGCTCAGTCTTGGACCTTTGGAGTGTCACCACATAAATATTTAATGCCCTTTTAAAGCAGCTGATTTAACATGTGAAGTAGACTTAACAATTCCTTCTGCTTCATCCCCCTCTTCCCCAAACACATTTAAATAAACCGATGTCTTTGTGGCCTCTGCAACCGTAATTCCATGTCTCCTGGGGGCATGAGGTTTAGGTGAAGAATGGAGACCGTGGACCCTTTTGGGATAAGGATTAAGCTTTAATCTTGAGGTGATTCTTGCAGTTGTAGGACTCTGTGTTCTGGGGAATGTGATGGATCATTTCTGATGGGACTCCTATTTTTCCATGAAATACTACCAATGCAAAACAGATTGACCTTGGAGCCCACAGGAGTCAACTTGATGAAGAGCTTAGTTGGAGCTGGAGTGACAATTGGAAGCCAAATGAATCATATCAAGTGTGACCATTACAGGCCTGAAAATGGTTCTTAATTAACCACTGATCCTCTGTGGTAGCAAGTTTCCAAAATTGGTGAATCCATAAGGGAACCCGTGAAAATGTACAAGTAGCAATTTACCTAATCTATAGCTCTGCTGCACTGCCTCTTTGACAATGCTTTATTTTCCTCTTGTTTCATGCTGTGTTAGAAGAGGTCCTCAGGATCCGATAGGGTTTGGTGAAACCATTGAGAGGACAGTATTGCCTAACATGCTTTACAGGAGATCTAAACTTGTGCGGGCCCTTACCCATACATTCATACCCTCCTTCCACTTTGTTTTTTCCAGTATTTCCCTTTGAAATGCAATATCATGTGAAAGTTATTTATTATTTTAAAGGTAGCATGGGTAGCCTTTTGTTTTTAATAGTAACCAGAAGGTGATTATTTCTTCTCAGGAGCACTAATTCTGTCATAGTGTTGGCCGTGTTAGCTGTGAACTGTAGCTTGTGTAGTATTTTGAGGGGAAAGTCATTCATTCTTCTGTGCTCTTTAACAGGCTTGTCCAGGCATCCTCCAGCTCCTGATCTCCCTACCTTCTATCCCTTGTCTCCAGGGGGGGTTGGACAGATAACACCACCTCTTGGCTGGTAAGATCTTTTAGCTTCTTTTCAGACAAAGGTGCATGTTCACACCATTTGCTGTTGTTGAATCAATTGCAGCATTTACAAAATAAGAATGTCACTGCAGTAAGAAATTACTACGTTATTTTAGTTGAAAAGATCAAAAAATATCGATCTTTGAAATGAATTGAATCCCGTTTTTGAACACATACAGAAATGGAAATGTGTAGATTTCACTTTGAAGTCTATATATTTCTTATGGCTCAGATTTGTGGCTCTTGGCATTTGGAAAGATAGCAGAAAACAGTTCTCAAGGAATTAAAGGTAGATTTTTAATAAACAAAATTGCAATTACGGAGGGGAGGTAAGAAGGAACTTTGAAAGCGGGGGGCGGGAAATCTTGAAACTGCCCCAAAATGGCAAACAAACTTTTGTAGTCTGCTGCTTGTTACAGTTTGTGTATGGAGGGAAGCCTCTGTCATTGGGAGGTTTTGCTGCTCTTGCTAATAGTAGCCCTCTCAGGATCTTTCCCTGCCATTCAGGGTGTCATTTTCCTTTTGGAGGAAACACATGGTATTTTCAGAGTCATCAGTTTGGCAGCATGCTTCATGTCTGCTTGGGGTAGATAGGTACTTGCCCTCAGATCTATCGGAGCAAGGAATAAGGAAACTCAGCAACAATTTCAGTGCTTTAGAATCTGTGTCTTGACTAATCTGTGCCCATGCAATGAGCGATGCAGATTTGTTTTTTTTAGTGTGTTTATGGGAGGGAAACATGATCCAGATGACAATAGGCAAAGAAAATAGAGAGCAGAAGATGGTGAAATGCTGTATTGCTGACAAATCTTTCAGGAAGTGCCACGTGCCTTTTGGAACAAACTGTTATCAGATACCAAACTAAAAGATGGAAGTATCTGACTTTTTTTTTCGCCCTCTTATTTTTTTTTCCCGTGCCTCCCCATCCGTTGCTGCTCGGCTGACTCCCCAGCGCCAGGCAGTTCCTGGCATTCTTTTTCCAGATGTGGCCAATCATTTCTTTTGAATGGTTTCTCGATGCAGTGGCTGGGGGGAGGGAAGAGGGAAAAGAGAAAGAAGAGGAGAGATGAGATCCGATCTTATAGGGCCTGGGGATGCGTTCAGCAGCGCTTGCTGACAGCAGGACATACCCAGCCGTCCCTTATGCTGTACGGCTTCCAGCTGTCTTCTGTGCGGTAGCGCTACTGAGACTTCCTCCACCACTTTTTTTTTCCCCCCTTCCCCCCTTCCTTTCGAGCACTGCTCATTTCCAGTTATGTACTCCAAGTGTGAAACCTGTATCCTGGACCTTACAGAGGCAATTATCCCTTTTTTTTTTTCTTTCCCCTCTGAAAGCTGATCTGCCAATCAATAAATAACTGTTTGAATTGGATTGATGTGTGTGGTGGTTTTTCTGGGCTGGTTCATGTGTTTGGGCCGAACTGGTGTTTGTTCTCATTACCATAGTGTGCTGCTTCAGGGTATTAATTGTAGTCACGATCTGAACCGTTGCTAACTGAAAGTAACCAAAATGTAGTGATGATGATAAAAACTAGAAAGCACAAATAACAGGCTGGTGACAAAATATTCTGCATTATGTGGGAGTATAAAGGAGGTAAGAATTTCACACAAGCTTCTTTTACCGGATTGCAGAGTTTGAACTTGTAAGTGGTTAAGATGGACTTGTGTTGTGGTGGGCTTTTAGGTGGCTGTGGGTTGTTTGGCTTTTTTTAATCAAATAAACTTCTGCTTAGAAAAGCTGGCCATGTGCACCACACGGTAGAGATGCAAATAGAGAGAGTCCTAAGTTTTCAAAGACTTAATAAAACTGTTCAAAAGGTGTGACAATTCAGTCTGGTGTTCTTGCACTGATCTACAGTAGAACTGTTTGGAATAAAATGCCGCTTTCCTAAGAGCTAGTTAACCAAATCTGATTCCAGTGTTTTTAAAACTAGGTGAGAGAGGGCTAGAGATAGAGAATGTGCGTGCATGCATGTGTGAGTGTGTACGTGCACGTGTGCTCTGGGTGAGGAAGGCTGGTTGTTTTGCTTTCTTCCCCAGTGGAAACCCAGATTGGGAATCTTTCAATAGCAAGGGAGATAGTCCAAAGTGTCAAGTATTCGTTAGCTTTGAATACAGCAGAACTCTCGAAAGTGTTACCTATTACTATATTTTTGTGACTAGTACCGAGTTCCCATCAAGTGCTTGTAACTCTAGAATAACTACCGAATACCGTATCGTATGATTGATGGGTGCCTTTCTTCTGTGACCTCAGGCAAGGTCAGCCTGTATATCCCATCTCGAGTGGATTCAGGCAGCCCTATCCATCCTCACTCTCAGTCGACCCTTCCATGTCCAGGTAGGTGTAGGAGGTGAATGACTGACTGGGGAGTAACTGCTGGCATTAGAGGGCAAGTTGCTCTTCTGCTTGCATCTTGGTCTGCCTTTGCTTGCTTTTCAGTCAGCTAAAACTTTATGCGTACATTTTTATTTAACATATTTGTGTAAATACAGTTTGCCTGGATCCCACACTGGTCTCATTCGGCATTTTCTTGGCAGTCTCTGAAGTATTGCAATTAGGAGCACCAGTGAATTGTCAACAATTAATTGAGCTGTTTCATCTGAAATGAGTCGTTAGTTCATTTCTAGATGCAACATACAGTGTGCATCCGTGGGTTTTGTTCATGCAAGTATACAACCAGGTGGATTGTTGCTCTAGTTTGCGTTCTCTAGTTCTAATTTTAAAGTTGTTGGTAATTAGTCTTGAATCATTTAGGTATCACTCCGTGTGGAAACTTGCTCGCAAGTAGGTATTTCATAGCCCAAAGCCACTAATGGCACGGGATGCCAGCACAGTGTATTTGTACTGGTGTGTGAATCAGGCAGTACTGGTTGTCTTTATGTCTAAGTGCAAGCAAGCAATGCTAACTGAGACTTGGCCATGACACACTCCAGACCTCTTCTCCTCTGCTTTTGCACTCTAAAGACAGCTTCTGCATCCTGTGCTTGGTGTACACAAGGTTGCAATGTACCATTCTTGGGGGTTTTTTGTGTGACCTGTAGAAGACTCATCCTCTTGCATGGGGACTTAAGATAGGCCACTTGATAAGTGGTGGGTCCTCTTGCCTCTATTTGTGTGGGCTCCACTGGATTATCACTGTCCCTTCACTTCTTTACAGGGGAATGATAAGCATGTCAGGGTGATTGGCAAGAAATCCCATTCTTTCTCCATAGTAAAATGACCTGATTTGGTTACAGGGCTTTGTGCTTGCTTTATTTTGATGGCATGAAGGAAAAGGGCAAGGTGACTTGGGAATGGAGAAAGGAGAGGCTGGATGTGATTCCTTAACCAGCACTCATTCAGCAAACCTTTGGAGCATGAACTTGCTTTTGATGTTAATGGTGCTTTCCACCAGTTCAAAATAAAGCATGCAGGTTTTCTGCTGTGCTTGAGCTTGCAGTGCTCAGCACCTTCGAGTTCCATCTCAGCTGTCCTTGAGGATGACCTGGGTTAGTAGGGTGGGATGATTGAGGTAGTGGTACTTTGGTTTTCCGTACCATTTTCCTTCTTGTACAAACAAAAGGAAGGTTTATTTAGGACAAAAGTCTCTCCCCCCTCCCCCATTTCTTCCAGAGTGCAGGATTTTTTTCGTTTATTTTAAGCGTTTGAGGAAAGGATAGTGAATTTAGGTGCAGTGGTGTTAAAATCTTTTAGCTTAAGTACTTTTTAAAGTAAGAGATTCCTTAGAGAGCCATCAGGGACTTCTTGAAAAGACTCTTATTTTATTTTATTTGTTGCTGCATGGCAGTTCCCTCCTTTGCATTGGCTGGTGGTGGATATTTTAAGAATGTTTATATCTTGGTGTGGAAATACAGTTTTTGGTTAAGAAATGTGTATTTTTATTGCTAGTCAATGCAACAGTACAACCATTAAATGTTTCTCCTGTGCATTGCTAAAACTGTTTGCCTGAAAGTTAATTACAACTTAGAAACTTAGTTACAACCAAAATGTTGACCGATTTGTTTGCTTGTTTTTTTTCTTGAATAAGTGGGCCACAATGCACAAATCTTAGCCAAATATTTTTCATGCGCTCTTAAAGAATTGTCTTCCATTGCAAGCTCTAGCATTTGCATTCTTGGGGCATCCTGCTGCTGTCATAAGTGTTTGATGCCTGTCTTCAATAGGGTTACAAACCTTCCTTTGTTTTCTCTTTTAGGTTTTCACATCACATGATTCCTGGTCCTCCAGGCCCTCACACAACTGGAATCCCTCACCCAGCTATTGTAACACCTCAAGTAAAACAAGAACATCCGCACAACGACAGTGAGCTAATGCATGTGTGAGTCTGCCTTTCTGCACTAGCCCTTAATCTATAAAGGTTTGAGAACTATGAAGAACAGTCAAGGAGGTTCAAAAAAGTGGCTTTCATGTCCTCTTTGAATTTTAACTCTTCTCCTATAACTAAAACAGTAGATGTGGGATAGTGTTTGGGAAGAGTAATGAGTTATGAAGCCATTTCTCATTCCAGTACAGCACTTCTTAGCTATCAGCAACAGTCATCTTGATTCAGATGTGATCATGGACCTGTCTACCTGTGGATATTGCTTGAGTGTGAACTCACAAAATTCGGCTGGAAAAGGTCTTAACTGCAAAATCTACTAGTAAAAAGTAGCCCTTTCGCTTAGTACAAAAAGGCAAAAGGCCTAAGAAGTGGATGAGGAGCTAGCCTCCTGCCTGTAGCAGTGGCCTTCTAGGGTCCTCTAGGATAGCCATTCAAAGAGAGAATTGAGGCAGGTAAGGAATTTGGAGCAAATTCACAGATCAGATGTTACTTGCTAGAGAATGTCAACCTGATGTCCTTCCTGAGTATTAAATTAAGTCAGTTCTCTGAGAAGATATGAAAGCAGATGGGACATGACCACTGAAATTCTCATTCTTACTACTTAATGCTACTGTAACCACAGGTTGATAATTTTCCATTGGGGTTTTTTAGGCTGAAGGTAAATGGATGCTTTTTTTCCCCTCCTTTCCCTTTCCCCCACCACGTTTTAGGAAGCCTCAGCATGAACAGAGAAAAGAACAAGAGCCAAAAAGACCTCATATTAAGAAACCTCTGAATGCTTTCATGTTGTACATGAAAGAAATGAGAGCGAACGTTGTAGCAGAGTGTACTCTGAAAGAAAGCGCTGCTATCAACCAGATTCTTGGCAGAAGGGTATGTAAAGGATGGTGCATGTGCCCTTACGTGTGCTGCTAATTTGTGTGTGTGTTTCCCTTTAGTTGGGTGTGATGGCTCACTTTCTGCTTGAGGTGCTAACTAATGTGCAACTATCAAATTAGCTATAGAAGATAAAACGTGCAACTAAAAATAAAAGGAGTATCTTGATTTTCTTTTTTCAGCATTAGCAACATCATCAAATTGGTGTCTGTTCCTCTCATGTCATGGTGTCAGCACCTCAGGCATGAAATATCCTCATTCACACATGGCAGGAGCATTCATATCACCTTCTGGGTCCTCCCTTAGGCTGGCATCCATCAGAGCAGGAGGGGATCATTTGAAGATGAACACTGGATGCCAGTGGAGATGGAACTCAAAAGTGAATATAACATGGTCCAATTGTAAAGTCACGTAGGTTGGGAGGGACCTGTGGAGGTTGTTTAGTCCCAACGCCTGCCCAAAGCAGGTCCAGTTACATCAGGTTGCTCAGACACTTGTCCAGTTAAATTGTGTCTCTAAAGTAAACAGCCAAGTACTGATGATCCTGGTATGTGTCCCAGAGGCTTGCTGAGAGCCGTTTGCTTCTCTGGCATTGTAGGAGTGTTTTGTTCTTTCTGTGCTCTGAAAACAAACATGCAGGCCAACCCACAATTACAAACTTCATGTTCACAGTCAGTGTTGTTCTTCCAAAGGAAAGCAGCAGAGGTAAATGTCCATTTTGCCCTTGACTGCCCCGGAAATGAGAAAAGGGATGACTTTTGTATTGGTCTGAGTTTGAGTAGGGGTTATTCAAATCCCCTTGCTCAGTGAACCCCTCTCCTTGACCACTGACTAAGGCAGTATTGAGAAGCACTGCAACTCTCTGAAAACCCTGTGCTTTTTAAGTGGGAAGTCAGTACATGACCTTAACTGCTCCTTCTCTGTTACAATCTGAAGACTTCCCTCCCGCCCCCAAACAGAGCAGAAATCTATTGGTACTTGTCCTGATTCCTTCCGCCTTCTCTCTGGTGTTCTTGTTAGCTCCTCTTAAAGGACATCTTGGTGTTTGCCTTTTCCATTCTTTCATGCAAGTCTCTAGGATCTTGTTTTCATTCTCACTTCCTCAGTAATTGATCGTAATTGCTTAGTATGTCAGCCTTGTTTTCTTGGCCTGAATGAGGGCAGTGGCTTATTTATCTCCGTTTTAGTAATGAATCAAAGCCTCAGTGCTTCATTGCCTGCTTTTTCCACAGCTTAGACTCCTCCTTTCAAGTTACTGTTCTCCGTGAAAGTACCTCAAATTCCACTTCTACTGTGGTACAAACAACGCATGAGTTATCCAATATAATTGCATGGAGATTAATTATTATCAAAAGTTTTATGTTCAGTCATCCCGGTCACTATTTATGATACCCTGTGCCACTCCGGAACAGGAGCCACCTCTGTTCTCAAGAGCTGATGCTTTGCGTGCTGCTGGGCTCTCTGATGCCACGGCATAATGTTCACTACTTTCCAGCTTTGGAGTGCACGTGTGGAGTTTGAGAGGTGCAAATGGGCTGAATTGCTGCGCTCTCAGTAACACATCAAACTTGCCAGGTCGAGACAGGCAAGCGCTTTGGTTCACATCTTCTGACATATAACAAAACGACATATTAAATCATACAGACGTGATCTGATCTGAAATCCTAGTTCTGTAAATTATTCTTGCATGAGTGTCTTAATGATTTCACGTCTGTCTGGTTGGGGGTTTTTGTTGTTTTTGTTTTAACAGAATCTTTTTCCCCTGCCCTCGCCATGCATGTTGTCGAAGTCAAATAAGAAGACATGTCTAACGCTGCAGCAGTGGAACCTGATTCTAAATAAAAGGCCCTTACTCTTTTTTGGTTCAGGTCTATAATAGATGTTTCAACAAGAACAAAATGATAAGATACTGATGTAGCTGGTGCCTTTTCATATGTGCAGGTTGTGAGGGGTTTGTTGGTTTTAAAGTATGTAAAAGCAGGAAGTTTATTCCTACTTGGCTGTAGAGGTCAGCTTATGTAATTTGGAAGACTACAATTCTGTGGTTTCTCTATTTTAGAAACTTTTTGCAGTTGCCATTTTCTTCTATTACAAGAAGAAGAAATCAGAAAACAGGTACCTTGAAGCTCAATACTTAGAGGTGGATCTTGGAACTGAAGCCTGCTGGTGCCGAGAAAGCCCTCTGTGTTGGCATTGAAAACCTGTGTGCTTAAAAACAAGACAGGGAACTTGCTGCCCTTTAAAAGCCTTTCTGTTTTGTCAGGAGCCAAAGTGTGTTTTTTTGGTTGTTTGCGGGTTTTTTCCTGTTTGTTTGGTTTTTTTTTTCTTGGGGCGGGGGGCGGGGGTTAAAGTAATGTTGGGAGAGCATGGTTCTGTGAGCAGATTATTCGGTGAGCTCTGTTTCCATAAATGATTTTTTTGTCTTGCAGTTGCAGAGCTGACAAATGCCTGAAAGTTGGTGAATAAACACGGTGCTTGTAATTGGTCATGAATTTCATTTTTGCAGTGTGGAAGGACTGAATCAAAGTGACAAAAACACTTGCTCATGTCATCTGTTGTCTAGGTGTGAGTTATTTCCTAGGCTAATGCTATGTTTATTTTGTTTGCAGTGGCATGCTCTCTCCCGTGAAGAACAAGCGAAATATTATGAACTAGCTCGTAAAGAAAGGCAGCTACACATGCAGCTTTATCCAGGCTGGTCTGCAAGAGACAACTATGTAAGTCGGTCACTTGACGGCTGCTTTTTTTTTTTTTAAATTAACTTCCTTTATCTAACTTTTTTTTTCTTTCTTTCTTTTTCTCTTTACTTATGGAAAATTCTGGATGGAGGGATGATGAACAAACATATAACATAAGCCTTATATTTGTTTGAACTTCAAGCATCCAAAAGACTTGAGATTTTGTTATTGTTGTTGAAATCCTTCTCATGAAGGTCACAGTTTTTGAGGGGGAAAAAATTAACATGGAAAGCAATTCCGGCCTCCCGCACCCCCCCCAAGGCAATGCCCAGTACTGACTGAAAGCTTATGTTCTACTGTACAGCTGTGAATTTTCCATAATGTTCTGTTCAATCACTTGCTATCCAGAAATCTTCTCTAGACCTAAGCAAAAAAGGGGTGTGTCTCAAGAGAACCGAAAGCCCAGGGGTCTTAATGCAGACTGAACTTTAGCTGAAAGTAATTCAGAATGGTCCGTCTCTGAAATAAAGCCTGCAAAATTTGTATAAGTAAACTTCATGGTAGATCCTGCTTTTATGCCATTTGGTGAAGCTAAGAAGTTTTATTACAATTACTCTTATTTTATAATTAAATGTCAAACAAGCTTTTTGTTGCACAGCTTGCACTGCACAATTATACTATTGTGCTTACAATGAGCTGTCAGTGTAGTCTTATGTTATGAAACTCTCAAGCTGCAATCCTGAGAGACTGATGTTAGCCTGAGATCTGGGCTCCTTTCCATCTTCCCATCAGCTGTGGCATTATTTACTGTGATAGGAAGTGTACATGCTATATCTGGCTCAGACTTCCATCTGTATTAGGTGGACAGTAGTATTTCTCTACTTCCGTGATGTCTTGTGGACATTAAAGATAGAGATATCTAAATATAATGTTCACAGAAACTGTAGAAGTACCCTACGTTTCCAATCCAGCACAGCTACTGTTCAGCTTAAACAAAATTTTCATTGTAAGCGAGAATATCTTAGGGAGATCTCTGGCATGGAAGGCATTGACACAGAGACTACATCATCATCTCTGAAGCAAATCCTTAGGTCTTGCTGACATCCATGCCTGCTTTTGTAAGCACAGACACTACTGTAAGCCCTAGCAGCTTGTTTCTGCTGGTTTTGTACAGCCAGGGAGGTTTAGATTGGATATTAGGAAAAATTTCTTCAGTGAGAGGGTGGTCAGGCATTGGAACAGGCTGCCCAGGGAGGTGGTGGAGTCGCCATCTCTGGAAGTGTTCAAAAAACGTGTGGATGTGGCGCTTCGAGTCATGTTTTAGGGAACATGGTGGCGCTGGATTAATGGTTGGACTTGATGATCTTGAAGGTCCTTTCCAACCTAGTGATTCTGTGATTCTGTGATCTTTTCTAGCAAATGAGCTGTCGTGACCTGACGCAGGTAGGGTTTATTTCCAGTAACCAGACCATGTCAACAGAGATGTCTTGAAATATACCTGGAAACAAATTGGGCCTTAGTGACTTACTCTCTGAAGACAAGGGGATTTCAATTGTCTTGAGCTTACTTACTGGAAAATCAAACACTTTGGAGCCTTGGCAGCTCATGCTTACTGGACATCAGCCTTCAAGATTGTCCTGTGATGCTCGGTCATGTTGACTTTGAGAACCTAAAGTGTTTTGCCACAGCCTACTGCTATACAGCACAAGCAGTGGACCTGCGGTTTCTTAAACGCCTTGATAGACATTCGGAGTGTGTAAGGTGGCACATATGAATTCCCTCTTCGATATACTTCCAACCTACATCCTGTGCGGAAGTATAGCTCTGACATACTCCAGTCCTATATGTTACAATGGAGAACTCTGCTAGCTTCCTCTTGCAATCCTGCTCTCTGCCTCTCCAGGAATGCACACGTTCGTTGCAGTGGTGGTGAGGAGGTGATCATTGTAGATCACACTTTATCACTGAAACCTTTTAAGGTATATGTGATCCTTTTTTTTCCCTCTTCGTTTTTTCTAACTTGAGCAGTCAAAAAAATGAAAATGTATTCATTTAGCACAGATACTACTGCAGTATTTGAGAGCTGGAAGTGACGTAGGGGTGACTCTTCTGTTTCACGTGTCTGAATTTCTCAAAAAAGTACAATTAAAAAATATGTACTACTTGGTTTTCATTTTTATATTTTTGTTTGCCTGGTTATTCAGGATTTCAGAAATTTCAAGAAAATGTGAAGTATTGCTATCCAACTGTTGACAATATCCGTGTGCTTTTTATTATGTTTTTATTAAGGACACCCAAAGTAGTCCTGCAAAGTTGTGTGATAGTCACGAGGAGGACAGCATTTTCACAAAGTGATGGTGTCTGTGTGTGCTGGAGTTCTCAGAAACTACCTCATTTGGGAATGCTGACAACTAGTTTTCAGCCCAGCCTTTTCCTTCTGTTCCTCTGTTGTCTTATAGATGGATCTCAGATCAGCTTTCAGTATGTTTTAGCACTTGAAGTCAGCCTGCCATAGAGAATAAAACATAATTTTCTTCCCATGATTTTTGCATGTTAACATCTGCACTTTCCTCTGTAAAGAAGTATTGCCTTGGTGCGTAAGTGATGAAGCATATTGCTGTGAGTTTCGCAGAGCCCTTGAAATTTGCTTTCTAACCTCTAGTCTTGGTCCCATCTTTGGGAGCTCACTTAGAAGGCATTGGCCAGCCCTCTTGCCAGCCTCAGGATGAATAAGGACAGGAGCTCGAGTCGGGCAGGCCCAGACTGTCGGAGCAGACTGGAGACTACATAAATCCATCTGCCATACCATAGCCTGTTTGGAGCCCTCGCTTGCTGTCCCATCAGTGAGCGCTGCAGTGGTTTGAGAGGGTTTCTCGCATCACCTGCTGCCCGTCCCGTCGCCTTGCAGAGCTAGCTAATGGAAAGGTGCGTCCCTCCACCTCAGCCCTTCCAGTCTGTGGCTGCCGCCTGTGGCGCAGTCTGAGCCGGGAGACGCGCTGACGGCTGCCAGCTGTGCTGAGTGAGGTAACCTCTGGCTGGGGGGCAGAAGGATGGACAGCAGGCTGCAATCCCGCTTACAGCAACTGCACCAAGGTTTGCCAGAGCTCTTCTGTTAGAGCCTGTCCTGGCAGCTTGAAGGCTCCCTTAAAATATAAGTGGATGTAACTTTTTAAAAACCACCAACAACAAAAAAAGCTTTGACTGACAATAAAGAGAAGTCATATGGAGGAATATCAAAGTGGCAATTAGGGCGATGCAAGATGACTGAGGTTTAAAATTGTGGGTCTAAACTGACCTTCTGTTTCCTGAAAGACTGTGCGAACCAGGAGCTCTGGCCCTTTCTGTAGATGGGGGTGCAGGAGAAGGCTGAGCGTGTGGGTTGGCACGTTGAGCCTGCGCCGGCACGCTGGTGCCAGTGTGGTATCCAAGAAAGACAGCTGCCAGACATCCATTTCTGTCCTGCACCTCAGTCACGTTAAGGGTGCTGCGCTGTACAGCAGTCTGCTGCTTGCTTGTTGCACAGCGCGTTCTTCAGGCACAGCCATATGAGACTTGGCTTTTGTTAAGGTACAAGCATTATCAGAACGGTTGTAGTTGGTTGGTTTGCACCCTGGGGACAAGTCGTGGTCGTCCTAGGTACTTTCAACACCCTGTCTGCTGTTGCCATGTATGACACTGTAAGTATCTGAATGTGTGAATAGTTCTTGTAAGAGCCATAAATTACGATATCAACATATGTGTCATCAGATTATTAAGCATGAGAAGTCTTTTAGATGCTTGCGGCTGCCAGCGTTATTTGAAAAACTGCCAGAAATTGTAATTCCATGTGGATATAAAAACGTATATTGCTCACGTGTGCGTTTCTCCATAGATGCTGAGAGCAAAGCTTGTTAGCATTGAAACAATTGGAAGTGGGTTAGAAAAGGCTTTAGCTACCCTGAAAACAATTGCTTTTTTCCTAACTGCTTTCTCAGTGTCCAGATGGCTTTTGTTTCTGTACTGTGAGGTGGGGGAGCAACAAAAGAGTTCTGTGCATGTAATGGTACAGTAAAATTTCCTATTTTTCAGGGGAAGAAAAAGAAGAGGAAGAGAGAAAAGTTGCAGGAATCAGCATCAGGTAGGCCATGACCAACTCTTACTTACCATTCACTTCAGGAATATTTTAGAAACCAGGGCTTGCGCTAGTTAATTTTTACATGCTTTTCTCTACACTTGCTTCTGATGGATGTTTTAAGATACTTCACTTTGAATGCAAGCTTGTGAAAATTAACACAATACGTGTCTCCTTTCCCTTACGCCTTTCTGTGCAGCAGTCCTGACAGCATCCACATCTTTGGCTGAACTTACGCATTGCTGCAATCACGGTCCTGCTTTACCTGTGCTTTTCTCCTCAACCAATGTTGTATCATCCTTAGATATAACTGTGTCTCAAATACTGTGTGGGATTATTGGACACTAGAAACTTCACACTGACCTTTTTGTAGCCACTATTTTTTTATCGCTGTATTTTACATTTCTGTGTACACTAACAGCTGCCTAGTAGGTTGGCTTAAAAGCATCAGTGAGGTCTTCTCTTTGCCTGTAAAATATATATAAAGAAACACCCTGTTTTCCCCAACAAAAATGGCTGGTATAAGAACCATAAAAAAACCAAACAACAAAACCAAAAACGCATCAAAAAATCCATGTAATACTGTAGCAAACAAACTTATTTGGAATGTGCAAAAGCTCTGTAACAGAAATTTGTTAAAGGAAAACAATTTTCTACAGGTACAGGCCCCAGAATGACAGCTGCCTACATCTGAAGCATGGTAAGAACATCTCTAAAGCTTTCCTGATGATAAAACTGAATTGTAAAATAAGCTTTCTTATAAATTTTATACAATAATATGAATTTAGCAAAAATTGCAGAAGTATCATATCCCAAAGCTAATGTTACTTTGACTACTGATGGTTTTTATACCGGCTATCTATTAGGTGTTCACCATTTCACTACTTAACCTTAATATTTTCAAACTGACCATACCTCACTGACGTGCTGCAAGTCTGCCTGTGAAGCACAGGGATGGGTTTATTAAGCAGTGCAAACCCTCCCAGCCAGCAGACTGCCACAGTTCGTAAGAGCAGGTTAGGCGCTGGCTTCAGAGTGCGTTTTATGTGCTGACGTCTACAAGATGCTGGCTGGCTGGGTACAGTTGTTACAGATTTATTCACCTGTATACTAACAAAACATCTGCTAAGAAAATGGGACTGTATTTCAGTTATAGCAGGAGTTTCTCCCTCAACTGTACAGTAATATTTCATGTGTGGTGCAGGTTGATTTTTTTTTTTTCTGTTGTTTCATTTCCAGTGTGTGTTTTCCCTCTTCATATCACATCATCTGCACAGAAGGTGGAAGGACTAGTGATTACACGTGCCTAGTAACACCATCTAGTCTGCTTGTGAGTGCACACAGCACCACAGCGAAATGCTCATTTCTCAGTGTTTGCGTTGGAAGGCTGGTCCTTCTTTTCCTCTGTGTGATATGTTTTCTAGTAAGAATGGCATTCATTTGACATAATAGTTGCTTCTACACTGTCTAATTAACCCAGACTGCTCTTGGGAGATCCCTGAGAATTCCATGTAAAAAACCAAACACTTTCTAAACTCCCCTATGCATTACAACAGAAATGGGCTCTTTATCTCCTCTCCCTCTGCCTTTTCTGGCCACATGATCCTCTTGGCACTCAGAGAGCGATCAGCAGAGCAGCCTGCCGTTGGCCCTCTGCTCTGCTTGGACTTTCAGCCAGAGAAAGACAAGTTGTTTGCTCTGTGCAGTGTGTCAGCTGTCAGTCAGTCAGCATGATTCAGGCCTCTTCTGTAGTTCTGCCATTATGCTGGTTAGTCTAACCTTCGTTGGGTTTAAGAGTTTCGGGGTTTGTTTTTAAAGCAGAAGTAAAGCGAAAAGGCAAGTGCATGCTCTTTTTTTGTTCCTGCTAAAGCAAAAGTTTTTCAGGCAAGCAGGCAGTCTTGCTCTTCGCAATATGCCTGAGTCTTGCTTATTTTGTGGATTGCAGCACTTGGGTTCCTTAGCCTATACAACAAATGTAGCTGTAAATTATCATTAGTTACAATAACTGCTGTAAGTATTGTACCTATTAAAAAAAAAAGGCAAGTGATTTAACTTTGAGTTTTATAATTGATATTTCAGCTTAGTTGCCCAGGTCCATGATTGTTGTATTTTACCCTCTGATGTTAACACAGTACCAGTAAGAAAAACACACATACTTTTATCTGAATTGACTCAGAGCACTCATTTAGGATTGAAATACAGCTAAGGTTGAAGTGACAGTTAAAAACCAGGGGATATTTGGTTTCTTGGATGCCTTACAGACTAAGGATGACTGTCTTGCCTACACTGAACTACTTTTGTTGGAGTTTCTCTGTTTGCGTTTTCCATAGTAGAGGATGAGTAGAAATAGGAGAGGATGAATATTCTGAGTGTGTGGATTTTCTCCCTTTGCCTTTTACCTCTGCCTTCCTTCCCCTTAAGCTCAGGAACGGTGTGGAAACTGTAGCTAATACCTGTCTCTCTGTCGTTCTGCAATTTATAACAGAGTATGAAAACAGTAGATACCTTCTTCCACCGAAGGGGGAATGTGCTGTTGACTCCATATATGCTCATGTAGGCAGCCTCACTAAATGTTGCGTGCCGAGTGAATGCTCTCCACTGGAGACGTACAGATGTGCTCTAGCTGGAAGTAAATGCGCAGAATGATTTAGGGAACCTGAATCAGCCAGACTTCAAAGTAAACTTCTGAAGGTTAAGACTCTTGCCCTTTGCAAGCCTAATCCAAAGAATTGTTTTGCCCACAAGCGTAATATCTTACTAGGCCCACAGCAGAGCTGTTGTAGTCTCTACTGGATGGAGATAATAAGTTTGGGAATGCCTTTCAGTGAGTGCCGCAAAGAGCTCTTGAAGACAGGAAAACACTAGCTTTCTTACTCCTATGGATGGTGCAACGAAGAGGGTGAAGGAGGGTGGGAGGTCGGGGAAGGAGACAAGCGTTCTGTTATCTGAGAAGAATCAGAAATGAGTAGGTGGCAAGACCAAAGAAAGAATCTCGAGATCAGCACAAAGGAGAGATCAGCAGGGCTGTAATTATGGTGATGTAAGTGAGAAGGATGAAATGGTGGGAGGGTTGTGTAGTGGGATGTTCAGAGGAAAGTAACGGAAGAGACATGCAAACAGAAATGATTTCAAATACTGTGAAAGTTTTGGGTGTTTTGTTGGGGTTTTGTTTTGTCCAAGAACACTTCAGCACATAACTGATTTTTACGGTGGACCTCTAACCTGCTTTTTGGTTTGGACATTATTTGAGTGGTGAAGTCAAGGTGGTAATGTTAAGTTGCTCCTCTTCCTGGGGCTGTACGCAGCAGCAGGCTTCTTAACAGCTTCACTGTTTAGGACTTAGCAGAGTTCTGCAATCTCCGCCAGCCTGCTGAATGGCCAATTTGTAAAACAATTTAATATTAGAGTTCTTTAGGAATACTGTGACCTGGTGCTCCAGTCTGCTAAGTTATCCTGGGGTACTCCAAGGCATGTCACCGTTCTTGAAAAGTTGTGAAACCATCCCCAAGCAGGATTTTGTTTTCAGTTGACATGGCCCAATGTTTGAAATAAGAGTTATTTCTTCAACAAATAGAAGTTATTTATTCTTTCCTTTTGCAATCAGCCAAGAGTGGCGTAAGACCTGATAATGCTAAAAATTAGTTTGGGAGAGGCCAGGAGGGAAGGGGAAATAAGGAAAGCTAAGATTAAGGACCACATAGAGATAGTCTGTTGAGCGCCTTTCAGAAAGGTGGGTACTTTCTTGTGACTTTAAACACAGCCTTCTAGAAGACTTGTAAATGGGAGCAATTCTGTGTCAAAAGTGGAGATTCCAGATTTCTTATCTGATTTGACTCTTGGAAGGAAAAAGAGCTGATATTTAGCACCTCAGGAGTATTTTTAAATCAGCAATGAAATAGAAAGGTACTAACGAAAATTTCTTCTGATTGTTCTGCAACTTGGGAATAGTTAACTCCTTATGACTTGCTATGTGCCGTAATTGTAAAAGGCACATCATTTGACATATGGCAGAACGCAACTGGGAAGTCCTCACAAGTTACATAGTTTAACACTGTGTTTTGGCATATCTTCAAGGGCTAAAAAGGGTGATAGAGAAGCTTAGCAGGCATTTGAAAACCTGTGAGAAGTGTATTTGTGGCTTGCAAAAGTCCGTGACAAGTAGTTAGATTAGCAATGCTTTCAAAAATGAGAAAATTTGACTAATACTGATTTACAATCAGAAGCACTTAAAAGGGTCAGATGAAGACTGTTTAACTTTAAACAATGAATTATCTGTAATCTTTCAAACTTCCTACATGGAAATTGGAGCCAAATTTTGGTGAAGTGATTTCTGGATAGTGTTGTAACAAATAATCTGTGACTGGATTATCTTTTCCTTACTACTTAGAAATAAAATGGAGTGAGATTGTGAAAGCAGACTATAAAGTGGACCAATCTACAGCCAGAATACTGTGGAAAAGAGCCGTCTGATGACTGTGATGATGGTTGAGCATGGGTTTCTGGCCGGCATCCTAGAAGGGAGATGCAAAGAGGATGTGGTACCTTGCTTTCTGGGGCATGTGTTTTCTAACCTCACTTGTCCAGTGCTCTTGAAATTGCTGCTGGAGTAGTTGAAAATGAAAGAAATGCTTCACCGCCTTTCCATACCCCTCGACTGCCCAGAAGCTTTAAAGAGTGCTTGGAGGATTTGTGCAGAAGTTAGCATGTGAGAATTTGTGGGGTGATGGTGGTGCAAAGACATGTTGTGATTTTCTTTAAAAATAATGTTTCCTGGGTGATCCATGTTTTCTTATTCCCTGTTTTGCCTATGAATGGTGGCCTTCAGCATCGGCAGGAGGGGCAGAATGAACAGAAGAGAATTTGCCGAATTGAAACACTTATGTTATTGAATACTTGGTCAAACTTCAGCGTTTTTCAGATAGGCATAGAAGTTTCCAAAGACGAAGGGTATAGCCCTCAGAGAGATCCCCTCCTGCAAATTAATTGTGACCTGACATTGATCTTGCCGGCATGAAAGAGAGAAAACCTCCTCTTTTCCAGGCTCTCTGACATCAAGAGAAACGTCAGAAGAGCAAACCTGAAGAAAAGCCGCCTCCTGGTGAGGTGGCAGGTACAGAGGGGCACTGACACCTGCTGGGAGAGATGCGGCAGAGCAGAGTTCCCCAACTCCTTTCACCAGCTTGGCAGAGGAGCCTTGTGAAGTGCAGGAGGGAAGGAAGGAAGGGTATAAAAGCTACTTTGGGTGCAACCAGAGACTATGGGAAGGATAAGGGTAAGTCAGGGTAGGGGGCAAGCATAGGTTTTTTAAATAAAAAAGCAGCAGAACACTTTCAACTAGACAATCAGCATAGGTGTGGGATTAGAGAAACAAGACATTTTTTTAAACTATTTACAAAACTGTTTTTGCAACTGAATGGTGTAGCACAGTCAGCTATGAAGCTGACCATCAGCATTTCATGTTTTAAACTGACACTGACAAAGGGCGAAAGTAGATAATTCAGCAGTCGAATGTCTAGAACCTGTTTATTTTGTCAGAGATGCTCAAGTTGTGGATGCTGCTGTGAAGCTACAGATGCCTAATGAAGTTTGAACTCAGTCACATTTGCAAGTGATTAAAAAAAGCCCCTCATATCGTTTCACTTCTGAGGTGTTAGCAGTAGGTGACTTGGGCTAGAATGAAAGAACAGTGGGACAACTATTGTTCTAAC